TCATGCTAGAAACTCAAAGGTCATGGACTTCTGAAGGGCCTTTGTTTACGACTGAAAATATTGGGAGTTACTGAAGAATAGTGAGTATAAGTCAATGATAGGTTAGAGACATGTGACTGTCTCTCTTTTCTATATATTCTGGGCTTATCTCATGTTTGGTTTCCGGGATTAAGAGCATTTTTTCATTATTTACTTTTGGTTTTCTTTGTTAATTTGTTGACAATATGTTAACAATATCATTCGAATTATGGTCCAGGTGGAAAAAGGCCTGTGGAAGGTAGTTTGTTCTCTGTGAGTCAGGGAATTGCTGGGGACACTTCTGATCTTATTTCTGGTTTCGCAACTATTGGTGGACTTAGTGAACCTGTTGACTATCCAACTGAATATTGGGACTCTGATGAATATGACGATGATGATGATGTAGGCTACACTAGGCAACCTATTGAAGATGAGACCTGGTTTTTGTCTCATGAAATTGATTACCCAAGTGACACTGAGAAGGGAACAGGACATGGGAGTGTACCTGACCCTCAAAGAAGTCAAAACAGAGAAGAAGATGACCAATCTTTTGCAGAAGAAGATTCTTACTTTTCAGGGGAGCAGTATATCAAGTCAAAAGCTGTTGATGGAGTTGGGCCTGCAGATGATCCCATGGGGTTGTCAGTAACTGAAATATACAGGAGAGCTGATCATGATGGCTTGGCTGCTCAACATGATGGACGCTTAATGGATGAGGATGAATTAAATTTGATTCGTGCGGAGCCAGTGTGGCAGGGCTTTGTCACACAAACAAATGAACTTGTCATGCTAGGGGATGAAAAAGTCCTGAATGAATGTTCAAGGTCTCATCTAGATCAGATTTGTTTGGATGATGATCAACATGGGTCAGTTAGATCCATTGGTGTTGGAATTAACAGTGATGCTGCTGATTTTGGCAGTGAAGTTCGGGAAAGCCTGGTTGGAGGGAGTATTGACGGGGACATGGAGTACTTCCATGATAATTATGTCGGTATTGGTGGGTCCAGAGGTGTACTGCATGACTCAGACAAGACTTATTCTGAGAGATCAAATAGATATAAGAAAGCAGGTAATCACAGTTCTGACAAGTTTATAACATGTGTTGACAGGACAAAGAGTCACCTGGATAGGGGATTCTCATTTCCCCCTCCTAGAGGTGGACAGTTGGTTCAGACCAATTCTGGAAAATCTATATGGTCAAATGAGGTAAAATCAGCAATAGCTGAGGATACTGATGACTGTTTGGTAACAAATGATGGCATGCTTGTTCCATGGAGGCAAAAGAGTAGTGAGTCATCACCTGTCAAGAGCTCAAGATATGATAATAATGCAAATGCTACTGGATCTGCAAATTCTAGCCCTTCATCACTTCCAAATTATGGTTATACTGAACGTGACCATGTGAAGAAAGAACATGATACCCAAATAATTGCAAGAGAAGAAGATCTGGGTGCATCATTGGAGGATGAAGAAGTAGTGGCAGTACAGGAACAAGTGAAGCAGATAAAGGCACAGGAGGAAGAATTTGAAACCTTCGATCTCAAAATTGTGCACAGGAAAAACAGGTGTTTTCTTTTTCCTATTTGATCATTTTAATTAATGCGAATTTTATATTTTAGGTTCTTTATACCAATGTTGATGGTCTGAACATTGATTCAGTTTTTAAAATAGATACCTTTTACACTTACAAACTCCTATAAATACATAGTCCAAACTCCTCTGCAAACACTTTAGGCCACAGAAATCTGGATATTGACACCTTCACATTCTTGATCCTTTATCCAACCAGTTGCTGCCATTTCTAGTAATTCATATTGCTGAAAAACTGGTTAATTCATTTTAATTTTTTCCAGCATGATGAAATTCAGGGAAAAAAAAAAAAAACATAACTGAAGAGGGATAAAGGATAAAAAGCACGATTAAGGAGTTTTTTCATAGCTCAGAAGTTATGAAACCACACTATAATAATGTTATCTATAGCAAATGCTGGCATTAATTCAATGGTTTTAGTACTTGAGCTTGAAGATGGCAGTGGTCTCCACTCTAGTGCCATGAAGTCTTTAGCTTGTTCATGTATGATTAAATTATTGATTTTAAAATATGTAAAGTGGATGTAGAGTTGCTTTATTTGGGTTGTCTGGACTCTAGAAATTGAGTGCTCTACAATGGTGTGGCCTTCATACTATTGGTTGATTAATAGTCACTTCTCTTAACACATTTTAACTCTTAATTGTCAATTGACTGTTTATGTGCATACTACTAGCTTTCAGTTGATTAACTCAACTACAAGTGCAGCAATGTAGCACCCTAATGTATGGTTAACTGTGGATGGTTGTTATATTTCCCTATTTAAAAAAAAACATTGTTGTCTATTTATCCTTAGGCAATTTTACCTGATTAAAATTTTCCAGTGTTCCTGAGCTATCTTAAAAGGAGTAACTCAAACCTGTTTTGCTTACTGGAACTTTTTTTCCTTGGTTCAGAACTGGTTTTGAGGAGGACAAAAATTTTCATGTTGTTCTAAATTCAGTGATAGCTGGGCGCTATCATGTTACCGAGTATCTTGGATCTGCTGCATTCAGCAAAGCCATCCAAGCTCATGACCTTCATACTGGCATGGATGTATGTGTGAAGATTATAAAGAACAACAAAGATTTCTTTGATCAGAGCCTTGATGAAATAAAGCTCCTCAAGTTTGTCAATAAACATGATCCTGCTGATAAGTACCATGTGCTTCGGTTGTATGATTACTTCTATTATAGAGTAAGTGAACACTCTTTACCTGTGATGGTCATTTTACTTTCCATGAAGAAAATAATATAGCTTTTTGTTAAATAATTTTGATACTGTCTAAACTCTAAATAATGTTTTTACTGAACCACTTGTTTATAATAACCCTTTTCCTACCTAGTTATATATTGAAGAAATCAGAATTAAGTCATTGTATTATGTCTGTTTTCAGGAGCATCTGTTGATTGTATGTGAACTACTGAAAGCTAATTTATATGAATTCCATAAATTTAATAGAGAATCTGGAGGGGAAGTTTACTTTACAATGCCAAGACTACAGGTTTATTCCATAGCAATCTCCTTATGGATGCTGCATTGTGATTCTGTTGGTTCTGACTTGCTTCTTAATCCCATCTGCAGTCTATTACGATTCAGTGTTTGGAGGCACTCCAATTCCTGCACAGCCTTGGACTTATACATTGTGATTTGAAACCTGAGAATATTTTGGTAAAAAGCTACAGTAGGTGTGAAGTGAAGGTTATTGACCTTGGAAGCAGTTGTTTTGAAACAGATCACCTATGTTCATATGTTCAATCTAGATCATACCGTGCACCTGAAGTAATTTTGGGACTTCCATATGATAAAAAGATTGATATTTGGTCACTTGGCTGCATATTGGCAGAACTTTGTACTGGCAATGTAAGTTCCTTATGATTGCATATTGATGGTAAACCAAGATTCTTTTGCTTTTGTGCGTGTTTTGGGTTGGGTGGGGGGGGGGGGGGTGGTATTGTAGGTGAAGCTAAGTTGTGTGCTTTATGTTTTTGGTTAACTATTTAGGCAGTGTTCATAAATATGGAACAAAGATGGTTTTAGGCTGTTGTTCTTTGTTGATATCATTTGAGAATTGAGAAAGTCAATGCCATTTCTCCTTTTGACTTGTTCATAAGAGATGCATTTACATTGTTGATAGTCAATGCCATATATGATAGTTTAAGAATGCTGTAATTTTGGTTCTCACAAAGACACATTGGACATGTGACTTAGTTGTTTGGTGTAACTCTTGGGATGATATATTAAATTGTCTTGTTCTGCTGCTAGTTCCTTTGGATCCTAGGGCAGAATGTGAAACAGTTTTATGTTTTGTGTGTGTGCAGGTCCTCTTCCAGAATGATTCTCCAGCCACCTTGCTTGCTCGGGTGATTGGTATTATAGGTCCAATTGAGCAAAAGATGCTTGCAAAGGGAAAGGATGCATACAAATATTTCACCAAGAACCACATGTTGTACGAGCGAAATCAGGTAAAGGACACTTGTACCCTCCAATGCATGTCAATTTAGAACTACCTCAGCTTCTACCTCACATGCATCAGTTTCTCTCTCACTGTTTTATCTATTTTTGGCACTTATATTTCCTTCAGGAGACCAACAGACTGGAGTACTTGATTCCCAAAAAAACATCCTTGCGGCATCGGTTACCAGTCGGGGATCAATGTTTCATTGACTTTTTGAGTCATCTGTTAGAAATAAACCCAAAGAAGCGTCCCTCTGCCACAGAGGCTCTAAATCACCCTTGGCTGTCATATCCTTATGAGCCAATATCATCTTAATAAGGTAGAAGAGATTTGTTTTGAAAGTAAAGCTGGGAAAGGATTAAGGATGCGATCCAAGTTGGCGTATGTATAATTTCCTTCCACAGATGATGGAGTAGTTAAATATGTTTTGATTTGAGAGGGTGCGGAATCATCTATTTGTAGTACCCTACCCCAGTAGCAGTAAGGGAGAGGGGGTATATGCATTCGATTTGTTTGTACATGATGTGTGTAATATAATATTGTTTTAGGTGATAGTTTGTGAAATAGACGGACGGTACCTACATATCCAATTTTGATGGGTTCTTCTTTACTAATTAATTTGTTGAATTGTACCATTATATATATTATTATGTAACAGGTTCATTCAAGTATATTGATGGGTTCTTCTTTACTATTTTAAAAGCATGAAATACTAGAAACGCAAGTCATTCATTTATTTATACGACAAACTGCATTGCACAGACCATGTATGTCACAGCTGCTTTCTTGCCTCTGCATCATATGGGTTCAATCGGCCGGTAATTAATAATAAGAGTAAGTGTATGTGAAATTTAATTTATTGCTCTTAGCTAGCTTAATACTACTGCATACAGCGCAGCACGGCAGAGCATTGCAGTACATCATTCCGGTCACTGCCCATTATATTAGGGAGTATTTGAATTAGAACATTTTACCAGTGCCATCCCTTCGAGGGACAGATTCATGGATATCCATTTTGCGCCAATTCCCCACCAGTGATGCCATTTCCTCTGATTTGTCAAATAACCCCAGCAGTCCACCCGTATGTATAAAAAGAATCTTTCTCCCTTCCCATTTTTTTGGATTCTCAGTCATATCTTTCATCATCCCATATGCTGCTTTCCCGCTACAAAAAGGCCAGGCCACGTATGTACGTACTTAGTTGAAAGAATAATAATGCTATTGCTATCAGATAGAACTCAGTGCAAAGGAAATTTATTGTTATTATTTTTTTAAAAAGAAGATTTAACTATACTTAATCTAAACCAACTGCTCATCCAACTCAGCTGGATGGGGCTCACACTATCTCCAAACATAAATTAACACAATCATCAAAGATCATACCTGTAAACAGGGTCAAGAATTACACCAGTGGTTTCAGCAATTTCTTTCACAAATTTAAGTTCCTCGCTAGTGTTCATAGCATACCCAAGACCTTTGGCCTGTACATAACAAAAGGGTAACCAATGACATATAAGTGTTTTTTTTTTTACAAGTAACTATTCACAAAAAAAAAAAAAGGCTACGGTGTGCAAATTTGGTGTATAAAATATATCTATCTTATACAAAATGTCAGGTATTCATAGAGGAATCTCATTCTTCTATCCAATTCCCGCAATTGCATGCCAAAGGAATAATGTGAATAGGAGAAAGCGAAATGAAAAGAATCTCAATGCACTCAATGTTGATATTGTTTACATCCGCATATAAGATAATTGTCAACCCAAGATTTGAGAGAAATTTGTTCTCCAAGAAAGAAATCATTCATCTTTTCTCAAACGCATATTGAAATGTAAAATGAATAGCATAAAGATGTATAACACTTTAAAGTTAAGAAGAGCATATTTCCAACAGCTAAGCTAAGCAATGACAATCAACAACAGCTTGTCAACAAAAATACAATGCTGCCAATTAAGCAGCAAACAAATGAAGTCCAAGATAAATGTACACATAACGAGGTTGGCAAACCTGAATGGGATCCTTACATTTTGGATGCTGACAATATCATGTGAGCTAATCCCTGCATTGAGTCCATCAAGTAGCCCTTGAACGTATTCGTAAAAGTATTCAGGATCATCACAAACGCAGAGTGCATGAACCTTCAATCAAAACCTCTTATTAATGAGAATAAATAAACCATGGAGGTGGGAATGGATAAAAAAAAAAAAAAACATAATGTAAATGACAGTTACTTTTGCCTTCAAGCCACTAAGCCACGATCCAATAGATAATCCAGCAATTGTACCCCCACTGAAGTCTCATGAAGAAATGAATCAAAATTAATAAATTACCATAAGGCCACATTGCAAATACAAAATTTAATTAGTATAAATTAAGTTCCCATCTAAAAGAGTAGATCTGAAGGTTCATAAATTCGTGGAAAATGAAACTATCAATGCTCTACTGTCGTTAAATGTTCCGACCATATTTGAAATAGGGGATTATGTTCATGCTTGACTTCTAAACTCACCAAAATTTTCTTTTTGCCATTAAGAAGCAAAATATTATTCTCTACACTACTCATGATGAAATTAAAATTTGAGCATACACTCCTGATCTATTGTGTCACTCAAAAAAAAACTTTCATTAGGAAACTTTCACCATTTTTTAGTACTTCATCAAGTCATGAGATAGCAGATTTAGGCTAAAACTAAACTAGAAGAATATAAAATGAAGGAGATAAGAAAGACAACCTGCCACATGCTACTACTATGTCATCAAATTTTTGTTCAAAAGCGGTATCCTGAAGCTGCTGTTCAATCTCTCTAATAGCTTCAATATAGCCCCTGAAATGGAAGTGTGTTATATTGATCATAAAAAAAAAAAAATAGAACTTGAAAAGTAGCAAGATCCTGTTAATAGTAAATTCAGTAAAATGGTGTCCTTTTATTTATTTTTAGTTGTAAAATTCTCTCAGAGTTTGCAGAAACGAAAAGAAGAACCTCACCAAGTTCCTAAAGAATTGGATCCTCCAACAGGTATGACATAGGGCTTTCTCCCTTCGTGCAACAATTTTTCTTTCAATATGTTAGCAAGAGCCTGAAATAAAACAAAAATCACTATTACAACCAGCAATAACCTAGCACATCAATATATTTTTACGAAGATAAGTTCAAATGGATGCAATAAAGTTTGTTTTTTTCATTCTTCAACCATGTTTTGAGAAGTTTAAGGATCAGTTTATGTCTACTTTGATTTTCTGGTTACAAGGAGAATATTTTTTTGTTCAAAACTTTTTTAGACAGATTCAAATTAGATGGTGTTTTGGACTGTATTACAATGTTGCTTCCTGTGGTTGAATTGCTCTTCTTGATGTAAAATGGTAGGTATTCCACAAGTAAAGGAGAGGAATGAAAAGATACATACCACACTGCCAACTTTTGCATATTCTTCTTTTGAAACAAGATCAATGTGAGCTCCAACTAAGCGCTCAACAAGGAGATTCCCTGTCAATCCTGGATCTTTATCCACAAGGACCTGCAATTATGTACACAGAAGTTACAAATAAAGGCACAAAGAGTTTCCAAAACACATGCATTAAAAGAAAAAGTAACAAACTATTTGTCACATACCTTGGAAGTTCGCAGTATAAGATAACAGTCAAGGTTCAAATACTTGGCAGCAACAGCAGTAGCACGGCAATGATTACTTTGAATGCCGCCTAAAGTGATAATGCAGTCTGCTCCCTGTGCCACAGCATCTGCCATCAAGAATTCCAGTTTCCTCACCTTGTTACCACTCAACTGCATTCCTGAAAGATCATCACGCTATAGATACAAATTTCTTTTATGTCAGAATTGAATTGATTAGTCAAAACTGTGAAAAGCATAACTGAATTATACATAAATTAAGCAGAACACAGAAAGTCTCAAAGAAGAAAAAATTTTAATTGATTGATTTACCTTCAACCAGACCTCGGTGTTTGTAGGCAGATTGGGCAAGTTCCATATGTGAATTGGAGTAGGAAACTAGACATGGAGCAAATATCATCAGCAATTCAATCACATATACTGAACATAATGCAGCGATGTATATATAGATTATATATACAGATGCAGAGAGAAGATTTTCTTACGTTTCCGAGGGAAAAGACGTCAGAGGGGACGGGGCTGAGAGAAGAAGCCCAAGTAGGAGGCTGATAAGGCTTCTTGGTCAGAAATTGGAAAGGGTTTGATGCATCCTCCATGATTGCTGCCTTCTTCTTGGTGTTTGCTACCGAAGAGTAATCGCAGCAAATTTGGCTGCTCAGCTTTTGCTGTGTATTTTTTGTGCTCGAAATCACACAGCTGCAGTTGCTGCTCAAACTGCTCGTTATCATTTTTTGCACAATTAACTACCGTATTGGCTCCTTCCTTTTTTACTAATTTTATTTCAATCAATGTACAAAAAATGTAGGATATTTATGCGTAAAATACTATTTGTACTTCCATATTTTACTCCCTCTCATAAATTTTAAATGTGGATAACTTTTTCTAGATCTACAAGATAAAAATATCTTATTCATGCTTATCAAATCATAGAGTAATAAAATTAATAAAGTAGAATTTGAAGGTCGCCATAGTAAAACTCTATCTAAAATTAAAATTAAGAATTTATCATTACTCAAAAATTAGTATTTATGCCCGTGTGATGCACGGAATATATTTGTTGTAATATATTAATAATATTTTGATTGATATATAATTATTTAAATTTGAACATCAGTTTCCTTTTTCAATTTACATTCTTAATCAAATATTATTTCACGTTGATCTGATAATCTCCTTTTCTATTTTAAGTCAGTTAGGGATGTTTATAATTTTTAGTTAATTAATAAATAATATTCGTTTCCTTTTTCAATTTGACTAATTTCTGATCGGTTTCCTTTTTCATTAAGACCCTTTTATATTTTTAATTAATTAATAATATCAATTTTCTTTTACAATTTACATTTATTATTGTTTGGGTGGGAATTTCACAAAAAGATGATTTTTTTTATTTATTAATAGTATAGATAGAATTAAATTTTAATTGCAAATTACATAAATAATTAGTATTAAAATTTTATATATATATATATATATATATATATATATTAATTGTAAATAATATTTGTGTCCAATAGTAATAAAATGGGTTAGATAGAAAGTAAAGTAATGAAAACATTATTATTATTATTATTATTATTATTATTATTATTATTATTATTATTATTATTAAGGTAATAACATCACGTTGAATATTTGTTGGAGACTAAAAATAGGGTAACCATATGAGGATTGTCAGAATACCAGATTACTCATTACTCAATGTAAATAAATATAGGTACTCAATAGAAATACTATAATTATGAAATATTACTAATTAATAGGTTTTAATTAATTTCCATTATATATTTGCTTACCAAATAAGATTTATTAATTATTTGACAAATAAAATATTTAATTAATTAGGTAAAAAAGTTTAGGTAGAAAAATGAAGTAGGAGGATTTTTATATATATATACATATATATATATATATACATATATATATATATATATATATATATATAGAGAGAGAGAGAGAGAGAGAGAGGGGATATTATTATTATTATTATTATTATTATTATATTATTATTATTATTATTATTATTATTATTATTATTAAGGTAATAACATCACGTTGAATATTTGTTGGAGACTAAAATGGGATAACAATATGAGGATTGCCAGAATACCATATTACTCATTACTCAATATAAATAAATATAGGTACTCAATAGAAATACTATAATTATGAAATATTACTAATTAATAGGTTTTAATTAATTTCCATTATATATTTGCTTACCAAATAAGATTTATTAATTATTTGACAAATAAAATATTTAATTAATTGAGTAAAAAAGTTTGGACAGAAAAATGAAGTAGGAGGAATTTTTTATTTTATATATATATATATATATATATATATATATATATATATAGAGAGAGAGAGAGAGAGAGAGAGAGAGAGAGAGATTATTATTATCATTATTATTATTATTATTATTATTATTATTATTATTATTATTATTATTATTATTATTATTATTAAGGTAATAACATCACGTTGAATATTTGTTGGAGACTAAAATGGGATAACAATACGAGAATTGTCAGAATACCATATTACTCATTACTCAATATAAATAAATATAGGTACTCAATAGAAATACCATAATTATATAATATTACTAATTAATAGGTTTTAATTAATTTTCATTGTACATTTACTTATCAAATAAAATTTATTAATTATTTGACAAAAAAATATTGAATTAATTAGGTAAAAAAGTTTAGGTAGAAAAATGAAGTAGGAGGATTTTTATATATATATACATATATATATATATATATATATATATATATATATATATATATATATATAGTGTGTGTGTGTGTGTGTTAATTTGAAGTCTAGACCATTATTACAATTAATTCCTTAATTTGTTATTTTCTTAATTAGAATAATCATAGTTGTAATTACAATTAATTAATTGTATGAATCTTTTTACCTTTTTGAATTTATTAATTAATTGTATTAATGTATTTTATTTTATTTTAAATTTATTTGCTAGACAGTATCATGAAATTTTTGAATCACTTCATCATCATCGTCCTTTACAGTATCGGCATCAACTTGTGAGAAGAAAAACAAAAATTTACTACAATTAATTCCTAATTTTAGCAAAGTAATAATTCATTAATTATACTAAAATATATTTAATTAATTTCTTAATTTTGGAAAATAGTAATATCTCTATAATGTAATGTATAATTATAAGCTTAATTAGAATACTAATTATTAGTGTGTTAATATGAAATCTGGACTATTATTACAATTAATTCCTTAATTTTTTATTTTCTTAATTAGAATAATCATAATTGTAATTACAATTAATTAATTAATTGTATGAATCTTTTTATTTTTTTGAGTTTATTAATTTATTGTATTAATTTATTTTATTTTATTTTAAATTTATTTGCTAGACAGTATCAAGAAATTTTTGAACCACTTCATTATCCCTTTAATTAAATTTGAATATTACATAAATGCCCCTAAGTTTTGGGAAGGAGAATTTTAGTTATATATATATATATATATATACTAGTATTTATCCCCGTGCGATGCACGGAAAATATGTTGTAAAAATGGGCGTTTATTTTAAGATAAGCCAGAAGAATCAAGTGGGAACAATATATTTTTACCCCCGTGCGATGCACGTCATAAAATTTAAGTAACTTTATTGTTGATAATATTTTTAAAAAGAGTTAATACCTAATATAGTCCTCGAATATTTGCATTTATCCGTGGATCTTAATAAAGGGGAGAAGAAGGAACCATCATAAATGGGATGAAGGATGAGAAATTTTCATTAGGACTCTATTTCTAACCGTTAATTAACAGAATTTTTAACAAAGGACTAAATTGTGAAAAATCATCAAAGTCGATGACTAAATTGAGTACAAAAAGTCATTTAGGAATAAAGTGAGTAAAACTGATATAGTCGATGACTATATTGGGTATTAATTCTTTTAAAAAATGATAAATCAAACATTAATGATGAAAATTTATTTTGAAATGTATTTTTCTTTAGCAATACTAAATTGGTTTTTATATTGAACATTATCACTTACTATTAACATATATTATATATTAAAAAGTATTGTGTTATTAGATACCACATGTGATAGACAGATAGTTATGAACAGATAGTTATGAACAGATACTACATTGTAACATAGTGGGTAGTACTAAAAAAAAACGATATCACATGAGATTCGAAAAAATTGACATTTATTCAATTCAAACTATATACAATAAATTAGAAAATCAAATTATATACAATAAATAAAGGATTTTTTATTTTTCTCATGAGAAAATATAAATGATATTTCAAAATTTCAACGTGAACTTTCAAAATTAGAAAAATATGAATACTCATGCTCCTTTGCAACCATTTAATGAAATTGAATGTTGTTTAAGAAATTAAAGTTTATTATATATGAAAACATCAATGATTATTATGTGGTATTTAAATAATCTACAAAATAACCTTTTTAAGAACAAAGCTTATTTTATAAATATTTGGATATTAATTAAGATATAAATAATTAAATATATACAAAAAATTAAAAATTTATTCAAAAAATTAAAAATTTATTCAAAATTTAAAAATTAATTACTATAATAATTACTATAATATATATATATATATATATATATATATATATATATATATATATATATATATATATATATAGAGTTAATTCCAGCAATGGTCCTCCGACTATAGTGATTTTCCAAAATTAGTCCCCGACTTTTAATTTGAACACTTTAGGTCCCTTGACTTTCAATTTCTTTTCAATTGAGGTCCTTTCGTTAGAATACGGTTCATTAGACTTTAAATGAAGGGGTAAACTCGTCCTTTCACCTGCCTATGTATTATTCTTCGTATTTCTCCCTTCGTATTTCGCTGTTATACCTTGTAAACATCTCAATAATAGAGGAACGCACACACGAGTGGTCAGCAAATGGGGAACGACGAGGAACATTTTAGAGTTTCGACTAAGATTATCTTCATATATATCGCGTATACAATGGAGAAATACTAAGAATAATACACAGGCAGGTGAAATGATGAGTTTACCCCTTCATTTAAAATTCAATTAACCGTATTATGACGAAAGGACCTCAATTGGAAAGAAATTGAAAGTCAAGGGACCTTTAGTGTCCAAATTAAAAGTCAAGGACTAATTTTGGAAAATCAATATAGTCGGAGGACCATTGCTGGAATTAACTCTATATATATATATATATATATATATATATATATATATATATATATATATAGTAACTGATATTATATTCTTCATTTACATAAATTGTTACATTACATGAATTACACGAATCCATTTATAAATTAATATGAATTAAGTGTTTTCACATTTGGAGGGAATTTTTTTGTGGGAATTACATGAATCTATTTATAAATTAATATTAATATGAATACAATAAATGTTTTCACATTTGGAAGGAAAATTTTTGTGACAATTATTTTGCTTTAATATATATAGAGATATAGAGATAGAGATAGAGATATTATAAAGCATTGTGTTATTAGATACCACATAAGATAGTTATGAACAGATACTACATTGTAACATAGTGGGTAGTACTAAAAAAACGATATCACATGAGATTTGAAAAAAATTGACATTTATTCAATTCAAACTATATACAATAAATTAGAAAATCAAATTATATACAATAAATAAAGGATTTTTTATTTTTTCATGAGAAAATATAAATGATATTTCAAAATTTCAACGTGAAATTTCAAAATTAGAAAAGTATTAATACTCATGCTCCTTTGCAACCATTTAATGAAATTGAATGTTGTTTAAGAAATTAAAGTTTATTATATAGGAAAACATCAATGACTATTATGTGGTATTTAAATAATCTACAAAATAACATTTTTAAGAACAAAGCTTATTTTATATATATTTGCATATTAATTAAGATATAAATAATTAAATATATACAAAAAATTAAAAATTTATTCAAAAATTTAAAAAGTTATTACTATAATATATATATATATATATATATATATATATATATATATATATATATATAATAGTAACTGATATTATATTCTTCTTTTACTTAAATTGTTACATTACGTGAATTACATGAATCTATTTATAAATTAATATGAATACAATAAATGTTTTCACATTCGGAGGTAAATTTTTTGGGTATTACATGAATTTATTTATAAATTAATACGAATACAATATATGTTTTCACATTTGGAGAAAAATTTTTTGGGAATTACATGCATCTTTTTATAAATTAATATTAATACAATAAATGTTTTCACATTTGGAGGGAATTTTTTTGTGACAATTATTTTGCTTTAATATATATAGAGATAGAGATAGAGATATAGATATTATAAAATATTGTGTTATTAGATACCACATGAAATATTTATGAACAGATACTACATTGTAATATAGTGGGTAGTACTAAAAAAAAGGATATCACATGAGATTTGAAAAAATTGACATTTATTCAATTCAAACTATATACAATAAATTAGAAAATCAAATTATATACAATAAATAAAGGATTTTTTATTTTCTCATGAGAAAATATAAATGATATTTCAAAATTTCAACGTGAAATTTCAAAATTAGAAAAGTATGAATACTCATGCTCATTTGCAACCATTTAATGAAATTGAATGTTGTTTACGAAATTAAATTTTATTATATATAAAAACATCAATGATTATTATGTGGTATTTAAATAATCTACAAAATAACATTTTTAAGAACAAATCTTATTTTATAAATATGTGGATATTAATTAAGATATAAATAATAAATAATTAAATATATACAAAAAATTAAAAATTAATTTAAAAATTTAAAAAGTTATTACAATAATAATTACTATATATATATATATATATATAATAATAATAAAAGTAACTGATATTATATTCTACTTTTACTTAAATTGTTACATTACATGAATTACATGAATCTATTTATAAATTAATATGAGTACAATAAATGTTTTCACATTTGGAGGTAAATTTTTTGGGAATTACATGAATCTATTAATAAATTAATATGAATACAATAAATATTTTCACATTTGGAGGGAAATTCTTTGGGAATTACATGAATCTATATATAAATTAATATGAATACAATAAATGTTTTCACATTTGGAGGGAAAATTTTTGTGACAATTATTTTGCTTTAATATATATAGAGATAGAGATATTATAAAGTATTGTGTTATTAGATACTACATGAGATAGTTATGAACAGATACTACATTGTAACATAGTGGGTAGTAATAAAAAAAAACGATATCATATAAGATTTGAAAAAATTGACATTTATTCAATTCAAACTATATACAATAAATTAGAAAATCAAATTATATACAATAAATAAATGATTTTTTATTTTCTCATGATACAATATAAATGATATTTCAAAATTTCAACATGAAATTTCAAAATTAGAAAAGTATGAATACTCATGCTCCTTTGCAACCATTTAATGAAATTGAATGTTGTTTAAGAAATTAAAGTTTATTATATATGAAAACGTCAATGATTATTATGTGGTATTTAAATAATCTATAAAATAACATTTTTAAGAACAAAACTTATTTTATAAATATTTGGATATTACTTAAATATAAATAATTAAATATATACAAAAAATTAAAAATTTATTCAAAAATTTAAAAAGTTATTACTATAATAATTACTATATATATATATATATATATATATGTCTATATAATAATAATAATAATAATAATAATAATAATAGTAACTGATATTATATTCTTCTTTTACTCAAATTGTTACATTACATGAATTACATGAATCTATTTATAAATTAATATGAATACAATAAATGTTTTCACATTTGGAGGGAAAATTTTTATGACAATTATTTTACTTTAATATATATATATATATATATATATATATATATATATATATATATCTCTTAGTGAAATCACAATTTTATTTTCTTATAACATTACATTTCAAATGGTATAGCTGGTATTTCAATAAGAAAAAATTATTTCTTGAGACATAGTGTGGATTTAGTCATTTACCGTCCTCTACTAACAATGTCCAATCAATAATAGAGGTATTTATTTTATTGCAAACAAATTACTAATATATTTTTTTTTAAAGCAATTACTAATACTCCGTAATTGTTAGACAAATTGAGTATAAAAAACAAAGTGAGATAAAAATTCAAATTTTGCTAACTTGATTTTGATAGCTACTTAACCGAGCGGGCAGCTAAGTTGGGGACCTCCAACCTAGCTTTCCTTTTGATGATCTTTGACAGCCATCAAAAGCATATGCTTAAAATTAAAACACAACTCTTAGGAACAAAGCAATTAAGCTGGAAGAATTTTGGTATACTAGTCATTGCTGACGCAGAATCAATTCAATCTAGAGTTTGTGTTCTTTGTATTTTCTTTGACACTACTATGGACTTGATCTACTACTCACAAGTATTCAATGAACACATTGGACAAATAAAAGAGTTCTACTACATATATTTTCAAATTCTACTCCCTTACTTTTACTCCATGACATAACAAATAAATATTGAATATTTTTATCATGTGGATCTCAAAAAATGTGTCAACATCAAGAATTTGTGAGAAAGAGTACATATTAGGAGTAAAAAAAATAGAAGTACATATACTATTTTTCCAAATAAAATTAACTCATATAACCAAAGTTATACGGAGTAGTATTTATTATGGCAATCTTTGATAGTACTAATTTCCGTAGTAGGATGTATGTACATGTATGTAAGTGTATGAACAAGGAAGAAGAGATACAAATAGGCTTCCTTCGTTCATATGTTGTTCTTGTGTGTTTGTAGTGAGAAGAGAGAGCCTTAGCTAGAGAGGGAGTAAGGGGAGAAAAGACCCTTAACTTGAAGGGTCACATGCCTTTTTTATAGGCACAAGGATGACGAGTTTGACCCGTTACTTTTGATTTCGACCCGTAGACCGAGACCTGGACCGCTTGACCTTGACCCAACTATAAAACGAGAACTCGGACCCGGAGTATATATTCTATCAGTCCCAAAAATTCAGAAGACAACTCAGACCATGAAAATATAGGGTTTTTGACTAAAATAGAAATGGGCCATGGGTGATTGACAAGAATAGCATGAGACTTTTTTTTGACAGTCAAGGGAAAATCGAGTTTGGGAAATGCGGTTGTGCTGAAAATCGCATTTTCCAAACTCGGTTTTATTAAATGTCAACGTCAACTACAGTCGCATTTCCCAAATGCGGCTGTAGTATAAAGCAAATCCGCATTTGGAAAATGTGTTTCTGGTATTATACGAGAAACGCATTTCCCAAATGCGAATTTGCTACTGACGGGCCGCGTCAGTCGGTATATGACTGACGTGACAGGTCATTGCTTGATGTGCCGGTCGCTTGGTAAATTACAAAGCTATTGGTTTTTCATGGAAAGAAATTTGTCAAACTCCAATCTTGTATGAGCATGTCAACATAGTGAAATAATTGGAGTTATCTATTTTCTTCCAAAAAGTTTTCTTAAGTTTTTGAATTCTTCGTCTTTCATTAACTATACCATTCATGTCAAGACTTGAAGGAATGAGAAGAAAGGTAGTAAAGTACTCTTATAGCAGCAACCTGTACATCGAGTTGTGTGCTTGATAGTCATGGATAACACCTCCTTTTATTTGTAAGAAACATGAAAATTAAAAAAAAAAAAATTAGCTGAAAAAATAAATAAATATAACTGACGTGACCGATCACGTCAGTCATACACTGACTAATGCGGTCTGTCAGTAGCAAATCCGCATTTGGAAACTGCGTTTCTCGTATAATACGAGAAATGCATTTCCCAAATGCGAATTTGCTTTATATACAACCGCATTTGTTGTTGTGTATATTATATTACAGTCGCATTTAGAAAATGCGACTGTAGTTGACATTGGCATTTAATAAAACCGAGTTTAGAAAATGCGGTTTTCAGCACAATCGCATTTTCCAAACTCAATTTTTCCTTAATGTCCAAAAAAAATCTAATACCTATTCATATCTCAGTCAAAAACTCAAAAATATATATAGTATTCAAAGACTCCCCCACACCCAATCGTCACGTGGGGAAAAACTAAAGTGAATTTTTTTTTTTTTTGAAAACAACTAAAGTGAATAGATTTGTCAAACTCCCCCAAAAAGCTACTGATCCTCTGAACATGGACATTTCTTCAGTCAAATGTTTTTGGTGACCATCGAATCGTACTATATATATCATAGTGGTGTGTAACGCAGGAGCATATATATTCTACGGAGTATAATTTTTACTGCTATTCTTCAGTCAGCAGTCAGCTGGCCATTCGATCCAGTTCTTTAAAGTTTGAAGGAGTTAGCTCATGCTCATCGATATCCTCATTCCCTCCGCTCTTTGTAATTTGGGATTAAATCTCTCTCGCTCTCTATACTACACCTTCTGATCTTCATCTATCTATCAGTGGCTGGTGAGGGATCTATCGGAGCCATTCAGATTCTCCACCACTGCTATTCCACTCATTCTTCAATTCTACTTCAAATTAAAGCATGCAGGTTATTATTTTCAATCATACTCTACATTTGTTCTTTTTCTTAATATTCATGTCATGTCATGCCAAGTTTTTGATTAACTTTTCGTAACTGTATGTTGAATTTGTAGTTTTTAGTTTCTTCTGGCAATCATCAATTCAAGAACCTTGCTTAGCTTGAGAGTCGCAGAGATTCTGAGGGGAGAGAGAGAGTAGCGTTTTCTTGACGCAATTTTACGTAAAGTACGTTTGGTGGTAATTTTTTTAAAATGTTTTTTTTTTTTTTGGTTCATACTCAAGATACATTCGTACTCATATATAAATCATAATACTGTTCTGATGCTCAACTTTGAACATTTTCATTCAGCAATTTGTTAGTTCCTTTATTTTATTTATAATAAAAAACATCTGTTTACAGCTCGATCAACTGCCTGAAAATGGCTGCTTATGAAAGAGATGTAGTACCAATGTTATCAGCCACAGATTCACAGGCTGATGAATCTGGATATAGGAGATTTTCCTATAGGGCAAGGAGATCACTGTCTATTCCTGCAAACTCGTATGATACTGAAAATAATAATCATTTTGGATTTACTGGTCCTCTGAGAAATGAAAGGCGGACTTCTTACATACAGATGAGTGGTCCCTTGTATGTTGGGCAAACACCCACGAACAACCTTAGAACATCTCAAGTAGCATTAGGACGCAAGTCAACTAGGCAAACACTGGAAATATATCCTTCCACTGCTATAAGGGAATCAAATGATTGGGAAGATTATGATTATGCACAGAAAAATGAACATCTCTTGAGATCAGGGCGATTGGGAGTGTGCAATGATCCATACTGCACAACATGCCCAACCATTGACATATTAAAAGCACAGGGGAAAAAGTTATCTGAGTCACCAGAGATATTTGATCACAAGGTATGCTTATGCTCGGCGCTCGCTCTTTTATCTACTTAGGCGGTCAATGCTCGTTGTCATCCTCTTCCACAAAAATTGTGTCCTAGTTACCGTGCCCTAGTTGTTTGCATTTAATGAATGTGACTCCATGCAGTTCCATAATATGATATATGGAGATGCAAAAGGTTGGGCAAAGAGAAGCTGTTCTTTCTTGTGGTCATGCCTTCCAGGTGTCATGAATCCACATGCTAAAGTGGTGCAGCGGTGGAACAAATTCTTTGTCTTCTCATGTTCATTTGCAGTTTTTATTGATCCCTTGTTCTTCTTTTTGCTGACTGTGAATCAGGTACTCACTTAACTGTGGTTGTCTTAGATAGCTCTTGCAGTTCAACTGAATTACATATATGCATATTGCATTTAGAATCTCTATCTAGACATTTGCTTTTATGAGGTGAAAAATGATATTTAGCATGTATCTAATTGTTAGCAGAGTTTTCTAAATATAACTTAGAATGATATGCAAAATGTTGATGATGCAAGCTTTCCTAAAAGGAAGATAGTGACATATAAAACATTACATATATAAATATTGGCTCGTGTAAGTATTTATTGCAATATATTTCACATGACAGATGAATCTAGTGAACTCCCAACATTAAAGCACTCTGTTTAGTTATAACTTAGAAGTCAATTACCATAAGACACTAATCAAAATCCGAAATAAAAAAGCACCGTACCAATTTGTATCTGTGTTTTTAATTTCTACAACATGGTATGTGATGCTAGAGTAAATATATGTGAACCATAGGTAGATAAAATCAAGCTCAACACTGATGAATTTATGGTCTAACAGAAAGCCAAGAACTGATTTGTATAATTGTATTTAGCATTCTATGAACAATTTTGAGAGTTCTTAATTGCCTTTTTTGACCAATTAAAAATTTGGCACTAGTATTTGTAATGTTCTTACGTGCACACGTGTTTTTCAATTTGTTTAGCATACCTGCCTTTCTTTTGTGTGTTTTGTATGTTTTGAATTTCCCTCTATGACCAATCAAGATTTGGCACTTAGTATCCATTATGTTTTTTTCCCCTATTCTTAACTGCGGGCACACTACATGTGTTTTATGATGTTTTGTTTGCCTTTCTACTTTTGTTATAGGATAACAAATGCATTGTACTGAACTGGCCCTTGACAACCACAATTGTGATTTTGAGGAGCTTGACTGATTTCATATACTTAATACACATGCTACTTCAGGTGACTATTCTCCTCACACAGTTCATATCAGAGGCATTATATTTGTCGAACATGTATTGCTATTATTATTATTATTATTATAATGCTGTCACTGCTTCCTTTTATCTTTAGAGCATCTGCTGTTGCATTTCTGATTAGTGGCTCATCAAGATCTTAGTTGATACTTCTAGATAAACTGTACTGTCTCCTTCACAAAATTTCTGGCCAAACTTTGTGCAAATTAAAGACACATTCAGTTGGCTTAATCAATCTAATCATTACACTATCGATCATGTCTAATTCCAATTTTGCAGTTCCGGTTGGCTTATATTGCTCCTGAATCCAGGGTCGTTGGAGCGGGTGACTTAGTTGATCACCCCAAAAAGATTGCTGTCAATTATCTTAAAGGATTTTTTTTGATTGACTTATTTGTTGTATTGCCATTGCCTCAGGTAATAATATACATTTGACGTTGAGTACGTCTTTGACTTCATTGTTGAGCTAATAATGGATTATTTATATATGAGCTACTGATTTTGTGCATTTCACATCTACAGATCATTATATTGTTGATTTTACCTGATTCAATGGGATCATCTGGTGCAAATAATGCCAAAAACCTTTTACGAGCAGCAATTTTGGTTCAGTATGTACCTAGATTATGGCGGTTTCTTCCTGTTCTCAGAGGCCAGTCTTCAAGTGGCTTCATATTCGAGTCAGCATGGGCTAACTTTGTGACAAATCTTCTAACATTTATGCTGTCTAGCCATGTGGTGGGGTCATGTTGGTATCTTTTTGGCTTACAGGTATGAAACTAATTTAGATAATTTTTAGATTTTGGTTCCATGACTTTAGTTTGCTGAGGTTTACATAAGCTACTTGGATAACCCAGGCCAGGGCAAAAAAGTTTATGAAGCACTTACTTCATAATCATTGAAATTCTCTCTTGGAACTAATTATATGCATGCAGTATAATTGGAAAATGTACTTTAAAACCATATCTTCAATGTATAGGCGGCCTTCCTTCAGCTCTGTCCTTATTTTTCTTTTTCCTACTGATCCTGCAGAGGGTGAATCAATGTCTTCGTGATGCCTGTCATACTTCTGAAATAGGAAGGTGCAGGGAATTCATTGACTGTGGGCACGGCAATGATTACAGTAAATTCTCATCAGATCCAGCATGGAATCAATGGAAGAATGATACAAATTCAATTGCTTGTTTTAGTACTAATGGTTTTGACTATGGAATATATGAGCAAGCAGTCAACCTCACAACAAAGCATAGTTTATTTACGAGATATATATACTCACTGTTTTGGGGCTTCCAGGTATTCAATCTTCATAAATTGTCTTCATCTATCATTGCTTTTTATTATTTATTATATATATTGTTTGTGTGGTGTGGTGGTAAAGCGAGCATTGAAAATTTTAGTTTTGGTGTAAATATATGGTAAATGCATTTCTTAATTATATATACATCTGATATAATTATTTGTTGGTGCGTGGTTAGCAAATAAGTACGCTTGCTGGGAATCTAGTTCCAAGTTACTTCGAGTGGGAAATTCTTTTCACCATGGCCATTATTGGACTAGGTCTCTTACTGTTTGCTATGCTCATTGGAAATATGCAAAACTTTCTACAGTCTCTTGGTAGCAGGTACAAGTGTTACTTTGAATGCCATGCATTATATTGTAGACAAACTGCTTGTAGTTTCGATCATGCATGTCTTCAATTCGATCTCACCTAGCTAGCTAGCTAGCTTTATGATTCTTTGAACGTAACTTCACATTAATTAGTAGAATTATATATGTATGTATGTTATTCTGCATGTTTAGGCAGTTGGAAATGTCAATGAGGCGTCGCGATGTTGAGAAGTGGATGAGCCACCGGCGCTTGCCAGAGGGATTAAGAAGGTACCCTTTCTAAGTTTTCTTTTTGAATCTTCTGCTCTTCCACCACTAGCTGCCTTTTTCTTTAATTTGTTCGTGCATGTTATGTTAAAGTGTAGTTACGTTTGTAGTTGATTGAATGCATTTCAAAACATGAGCTTTGAGCTGTGGCAGAAAAATCTTCAATAATCTTCATCCGATCCTTTGGTTTCGGTACTGTAGGCGAGTACGACTAGCTGAACGCTATACATGGGCAGCTACCAGAGGGGTGAATGAAGAAATGTTGTTGGAGAACCTACCTGAAGACGTACAAAGAGATATAAGAAGGCATCTTTTTAAATTTATCAAGAAGGTGAACGAATTATATATATATATATATATATATATATATATATATATATATATATATTGAACCGACCTTCATTATCTTCTGTTCAATTCGCTTGAGTTCATTATATATAGATTGCTTTTAATTGGATGCATATATATATCTCCAAACTTGTATGACTTACTTACTAGCTAGCTACTACTAGTATATATGTGTTGAATATATATTTGCATGCAGGTCCGCATTTTTGCACTTGTAGATGAGCTAGTCTTAGATGCTATTTGTGAAAGGTTAAGACTAACAACGTATATAGAAGGAAGCAAAGTTTTCTACCGAGGTGGTCTTATTGACAAGATGGTTTTCATCATCCGGGGAAAGATGGAAAGCACAGGAGAAGATGGAAACGTGGCCATGTTGTCTGAAGGGGATGCTTGTGGGGAAGAGCTCCTCACATGGTGCCTAGAACATTCCTCTTCTGTAAATAAAGGTATATATGTATCTAGTATAGGTGTCAAATTATATATTATTATTATTATTGCAAATCTTTTCTTTTCTTTTCTACAGGAATCTAACTTTCGTAATAAATTAAAATTGTACTGTTTTTTTCTTTTATCATCCCATCCAGATGGAATAAAGATGAAGATTCCAGGTGGACACAGGCTACTTAGTAACAGGATTGTAAAGTGCCTAAGCAATGTTGAAGCATTTATATTGCGAGAAGCAGATCTTGAAGAAGTCATTTCTCTGTTTGCAAGATTCTTGAGGAACACCCGTGTTCAGGGTGCCATAAGGTATGTATTCTTTAAATGCTATCTACCTCTCATCTCATCGTAACATCTATCTATCTGATCCAAATTAATTACTTTCCCTAGCTTAATCATCACATTAATTTAATTTAATTTGTGGTGTAGGTATGAATCTCCTTATTGGCGAGCCCTGGCAGCACGTTGCATTCAAGTTGCATGGAGATATAGAAAGAAGCGTCTAAGTCGTGCAGACAGCAAAAATCCATCTCAACAAAATTTACTAGGGATGGAAGTTAGATTAGGTAGTTCAGATAGAGTAATATCTGAATTTTATTCTAGGTACTCGAATTGTATCTAAATACGATTTTAGTAAAATACAATCAAAATGAGTTTGGAAAATGAAATACACTAAACAACCCCAAATTACTTAATACTTGTTTAAAAAATTTGGTGACCAAAATCAATTAATTGGTCAAAGATGGATCGGAACTGAACATCTTCCAGTTAGGAAAATAGCACTATATTTTCCATGCAGAATCTTCCAGTTATAAGATGATTGATGAATGTTTTGGTTATGCTTTCCAGTTGGTGAGGCTAAAACAGGAGGATTAGTGATTTGGAGATCAGGCAGTTGAATATATAGTGCTATACAGAAGACTATCATTTATATGCATTTGATTGTGTAATATCATTTGTTAAACAAAATCAAGGTAATTTGGATACATTAGAACCGTGTCAAGATTTGATGGATAACAGTGGAATTAAATACTTGAATGGAGTAGATGGAGGGAGCATCAAAGTCTTATTTGAATAGTCTAACAGAAGAAGAAAAGATGGATTTAAGTGAGGTCAATCTTCTTTAAGATGGATTGAAGATTGGAATGATCGTTATCCTCTTCCCGTTGATGCAGATTTATTGTTCTGATGTCATTCCTGGATATAAATCTCCTTTTAGACGTCTCCCTTTTGGCATTAGACAGAATTTGAGAGACACATTTTATTTTGCATAATCCATCAGGAAGAAACCGAGAGCTGCAATGGTGAATCTATGGGAAAGAAATGCTATTGCAAAGATTGGCATCAAATTAAACGTGGTGTGCATAATACGTGCAATGAAAGGATGGCAGAAGAACTCAAGGTTAATCTGAAAGTGAACTCCCCTGACCTTACAAATAAGACCTGCATAGATTAGAGAGAGAGAGAATTAAAATGGGTGGTACATATCATTGAAGCAATAACTTTTTTTTTTTTTTAATTATTAAATGAAGTTATCTATTTTTATAGGATTTATCAGAGTCTGGAAAATGTCTTCAAGATCCATTTCTTGCTGATGAGGTGTTGACTGGGAGGAACACTCTTATCTCACAATAAGGACTATATAGGGGTAATGACTTCTTGGCACCTGCTGTTACAGAAGCAGAGACACGGAATACTCTTCAACCAGAACAGGAAGGACAAGCACCACAGGCCCAGCAACTAACAACCTCTATTAATTGTTTCAAACCACACACAGGGCTGCTAAAAGCCCATTGGTTGCAGCAACTTCACGCTGGGCTAACCCAAGAGATACAGAAAATGATGAAAGATGCAGCTGAATGTTCAGATTATACAACCAATCAGAGAATGCCGACCCTTCATTGGGACGATGTTCGAACTTAAGACCTTCCTTATGGGAAGTGTCATCAAACCATAAGCTATTTGACTATTTAAGTTAATTTATATGAACTTAAAATTGATATTTTTAAATTCATTTGAACTTTGCCCTCACTCAGAACAATTTCTAGATCCACTTATGTCATAAGGTTTATATTCACTCATTATAACAAATCTCGAGTGCATCTGCATGGGACATTTTTCAAAATCATACAGTTTCCAGCCATCTTTAGTTGGTCACAATAAGAAACCTGCCTCCATCTTTAATTTTCAGATGAACGTAACAAAATAATTAACATTAAATCTCTTGGTTTCTTGAATGAGCTTGATCTTATGAAATACAGTATATTATTAAGGTTTAACAAAGGTGTCAGATTGTTAAAAAAAAAAAAAAGTGTTAGAATCGTAATCCTCTTGTTTCATCTATCTATCTTAATTTTTTCTTAGTGATCCCATTTACTTAAAATATAATGTGTTATCTTATACTATATATAAACCGGTGGGATGTGGGGTTGGTGGTTCCTCACGCAACACCATCTTATTATACTATATATGCAAGTATGCATCTCCTTTATCGGAGAGATCGTGTAGCAAGGTGCATTCAAGTTGCATGGAGATATAGTAAGAAATGTCAAAGTCATGTAAACGGAGCCACCCCACAACATTTCTTTCTTAAAAACAAAAATTTATTCATTAACTACTTGTAATCTGTAAATAATTTTTTGTTGTGAATGTAACACTACAGCTTGTAAAAATTTATAGTCAACTTTTAGTCTGTATCTCCCACAAGCATTTGTCATCCATTACCAACACAGTGTGCATGTCATACATTACTTCTATGATTTGGGATCTAGATTTTTGCAATATTGCATAGATAATTTATCCAATATACATACTTATAGAATTATTGCTGTTTTTGTCGCCATAAAGAAATCCCAGTTCATCGCGAGGATATTAAATGCGCGAGATTTCATTTTGGGGCAGACATCTATTCCTCATCTTAGACTTGTAAACCTGTGCATTCTAAAAATAGTTATGGGGAAGAGCAGGATGACCCATGACTGTCCATCAATGGCAATAGTAGTAGCAATGCTTCAATGATGCCACGTGACGGGACGGCCATGACCGGTCCGTCACTTTACCCACCATGCATATATATATATTAGTTTTTTTCGCGCATTGCGCGATTGGGATAATGCCCAATATTTTTTTTTAAAATAAGTACTTTAAAGTATATTAAGACAAGATTATATTGAAATTGTTCATGCATAGATAATTGAATGTTAAATTTGCGTATTTAAATAGGCAATTCTAAGATTACAAATGCAAAATAATATAGTCAAGATTTATTATAATTGTCAATAAAATAATTGTATAAGTATGGTTGAAACCAAATACGGGACATAAGGGAGAGAAAATAAAAATTATGGCATAAAATATTAAATATATACTAATATTGAAGAGCTTGCTGATTGCCAAACAAAGACATTGCGAGATAGTTTCCCACTTCAATTGTTGTGTGATTTGAATACTCTTGTTGTCAATAAATCCCCCAAGTAGTTAATATGATTGACTTAATTATATTTTGTTTATTTTTTATTTTTTTAAAACAATTATTATTATTATTATTATTATGATGATGATGATGATGATGATGATGATGATGATGATGATGATGATGATTATTATTATTATTATTATTATTATTATTATTATTTGGTAGGGAATATCCCGACCGACATAGCTTCACCACGACCGAGAAGCCTTTGTCTTTTTCTCTTTGTCTTTGCAGGTAACAGGTCGGGCTCCTTGAGAAGAACCCGGTCGGGGGCCGACCGGGAGTTGCCCGAGCGACGGTGTCGACCGCCGAGCGGTAGCCCTTTGGCGAGAGAGCTGACGAAAGACACATGGCGATTCTCTACGACGACAGACAGGGCACCCGGGAGGACGACACGTGGTGGCTACGTGGAGGACATGCCGAACGGCTGGAATCCTGTCCCCGGCATAGCGGCTATAAATACCCACAGTAGCTACAGTGTAGGGGACTTTTGGACGATCGATAGGTTGTTGTTAGAGAATCCCGACCGCAGTCAGTCGGTACTCAGAGCAACCAAGTAGATTGTACTTAGGGCCTCTATTGTGATCAATAAAGTTATTTACTTGCTTTAATTGGTCTCGTGTTACTACATATTGCTTACGTATAATTAGCAATATCATTTTGGCGCCGTCTGTGGGGACCCGTGCAAGAAACCAACGTCTTGATGAGCACCCGGTCTCTATATCAACATGTATCCGTGGGCACACAACAACTTTGCCGACGACCAGGCGGATGCGGCGAGCTCCTCCGACCACTATGCTACCCAACAGCAGGGTCAGACAATGGACCTCAACCTCAACCTCTCACCACCGCATCCATCAAATGCATACCCGGCCGCCCAGCAGCCGGTGAATTACATACAACCGGGATACCCAACACCCGGTCTGCCATACCAGCAGCAGCCGATGATGTATCCCGCCCAGTATCCATACCCGGTCCCACCTCCACCGTACGGGTATTGGCCAGGCCAACCGATGTGCTACACTCCCCCGGTTGGTTATCCACCATATACGCCAGCTTATACAGCTCCAGCCGCCGCCCCTCCAGTACAACCGACCGCACAGGTAGAGCCGCAGCGTCAGTCCGCATCCCGGGCTCGACGCTCGGCTCATTCGCGGTTGGGGTCGGGGGGTGCTGATGCGATGGAGGCACCAGCTCAGGCCGTCCAAGCGGAGGACCCTAAAGAAGTTGCCCGAGCGGTAGCTTTCGATCGTCTTCGACCGGAGATGCGCCAGCGTTTGGGACCCCAAGACTCGAACCGCGGGCAAGAAGACGTACAGATGCAGGAGGCTAGTCAGGAGGCTTCATCTGGGTATAGCGGGTCGAGATCTCACCGACGGCGACGTGCTCGGGATACAGCCCAAGCTGCTCAAGCCGCCGAGCTCAACGAAACCCGAGGATTGCTCTATAACCTCCAGGCGGAAGTTGCGCAGCTCAGGAATGCGTACCCTGCCACACCCCCGGTCAACCAATCGACCCTGCACCAGACGCCTTTCACAGCAGCGGTGATGACCCAGCCTTACCCGCTTGACTTAAAGGTCTCTGGAGAGAAGAGTTATGACGGACGGGCGGACCCTGAGGCCCACGTGAATGATTTTTTTAGCAACATGATGCTGAAGGGCGTTTCAGACGCCGTGATGTGCAGGGCCTTCTATTCGACCCTCACCGGTCGGGCGGCAGAATGGTTCCGTACCCTGCAACCGGGGTCTATCGATAAATTTGAGACCCTGGCGATCAAATTTGTGAGGAAGTTCATTACTTCCAAAGTGGTGAGGAAGTCCTACATGTATCTCGAGAAGGCCAAGCAGCTAGAAGGGGAAAGCTTGACCGATTTCCTCATCAAATGGAAAGCAGCGGTCGGGGAGGTCGAGCCGATGGACGATGCGACCGCCACCCACATGCTTCACATATCTCTCCGGGCGGGGCATTTGTATCAGGACTTCATCCTACACCCCCCGACCAGTTACGAGGAGGCCCTTCGGAGGGTCACAGATTACGCCAACGCCGGCGAGGCGAACGCCGTAAAGCGCTTGCAGGAGGTCGGCTCTTCGTCCCGTAAGCCGGCCGGCCGGGCGGAGCATCGGTCGGGAGATGACAATCCCCGATCCCGCACCAGGCCTGGCGAGTTTACGGCCTTGAACCGGTCCGC